CCGATGCATATCTCCAAATGCATTTCACTTGTGTAGATGAGAGACAGTGGCAAAAGTGTGTGAACAAGAGTGTGGACACAACAACGTTCTCAGGAGTCCTCGAAACTGAATAGTCACTTAACACTGTCTGAGGATATACTATATTCATTGAGATTGCAGTAAATGTCGATGGAGAATATGTGTTTTCGACTTCTCAGTCGTCATAAATAATTCTTGCTTCGCCAAATACAATCAAATATTTTCAAATTTAGTGAAATGAGCCCTGTGTGCTTTTAGAATCCATGCAGCAATCCAAACGAAGTGATTGTCATATAATCACTGGATCTAAAACTCTAACACTGAATAAATTTGACCATTTCAAAACATAAAGGCCTCACTAGTTCCTTATTTCCAGTTTTCACCTAGTTCCGCGTCTGCCTACATGCCTCCATCTCCTCTGCACATCACCTACTCCCGCATGTCACTCAACCCTCGCACTGACGGCCAACCTTTCGCTTATCATTCGGGTCCCACTCGGGTGATGTCCTGAATTGCTCGTGATGTCACTTGATGGTTTGTTCTCTCAGAGTATGGCCAGTCAATCCACCTCCATTTCTTCAAGCATATTTCTTGCACAACCGGTTCCTGCTGGGCTGGTTCGATCATTGTCAGAGATCTCTCACTATTGCAGATCTTTCCTGTCTAGCCATCTGATCCTGAGTGATACTGAGCTAAGACAGCTGTTGAAGAAGGCCTGTGGTTTGTTTCAGATGCTCATCGTGACGCGCCATGTCTCTGATGCATGAAGTTGCACTGAATTCACATTGCAGAATCCGGATCCTATTTCTCGTGCTGAGGAGTGATGTTGACCTACACACGGACTTGGGAGAAATGAAAGCTTGACTTACTTTCGCGATCCTCGCTTTGACGATATCCCCATTGGTTCCGTGCGCCTGTAGTTGAAACGACACCTCCCAGCTGGGTAGGTAGGTAGGAAGGTGAAGGAGGTTGCTCCCTTCAGATTCCTCCCATTTATGCTGGCTGATTGTTGTCTGTTGTTGTTTTTGTGATTGTTGCTGTTGGCCAAGAATCTTCATCACCACTGTTTCCTCTATGATCGCCCGAATGCCTATCTTCTCTGAATGCTTCTTCTGCCAACTTGTTGCTTTTTCATTTGCATATCGTCCAGGGTGTGGGAAATCAGACATATATCACATCGGCGAATTCCACCTCTTTGGCGATTTGCTTTCCATTGTCATCCTTCAATGGCTAAATCCGATAGGAACCTAGTTCTTTTGTAGAGTGTTGCAAGGTCTCTGTCAAGGAACTTAGCCCTAAGTTCCTATTGTAATGAAGACGTAGGCGATTGAACCGATAAATACTATGTATTGCTTTCAACTTTAAATCCAAAACACCAGTATTCCTTGAACGAAATTATATTGTTTGTCAATTAAAGTGAAGACAACTACAAAGTTTTTATTCGTGTTCTTTCCACCTTCTTCCAACTTGCACACGATCGTACTATTCGCGCCTTCGAGTTGCCCACCAATGGCTGCCAGTTCCAATAGACAAACGTTCAATGTTCACGTCCATTGACAGTCTCCTTTGTCTGCACTGCAGCTTGTAATACTTCACCTGCATAGCTTCATAATATCGTCCTTTGACATCCCTGGCACTCTTTTTAAATCTTTTGTTCGGTGATCGTCGATGCACTAGCTAATCGTTTGTTTCACCATCCTTCTCTCTTCTATCAGTCTCCACGTGTCTGTAGTGAGCCACAGTTTGTCCTGTCTCTTGTTGCTGCTTAGAAATTCCATGCAGGTTTGACGCCACACACCTTTCAGGTTGTTCAAGTGCTCTTCAACGCTGTTCTCTTTGCTAGTGTTGGTTTGTGTCTCCGCATTTTTCCTCACTTTTGCAATGAGGATGTCCTTTTTATCCTGATCCCTCAGCTTTAGAGTATTGAACTTAACTTGTGATCTGTCTACAGCTCCTGTTTCTGTGAAAGCTTTCAATTTGATTTGGAGTGTTCCTTGTACAAGATAGCTGTATGAGTCTACGTGTGCTCCTCTTCTTACTTTTGTGTCCAATAAGCTGCTTCTCCATTTCCTTGAGCAGCATTGAGATGAAGTCAATTTGCTTTTCGGCTCGTCAGTCTGGTGTGTTTGAATGTGTGTTTCAACTGAAATAGACTTTTAAGGTTATTCTTTATCCTCTTCAGATTTGACTGACTGACTGACTGGCGGTAATAATATCTTCCATATTTCTGGTATTCGCATTGAGTCATTTCTGTTGCATGTGTTGTGTTGGGTGTAGACTCGATGAACCAGGCAGGATTCAGTAATCAGCCTCTCTCTCCATCTACATGGATTACTTTTTAGAATTTTAATGGATGAGACGAATTAAAGTCTAAATATCTATTAGAATGCGTTGGTTTCTTATAAATACCAGTGTGAAGTTTGCCTTCTTCTATTCGTTTTATTTCACAATCTAACATCACAGCTAATTCTCCTTGTTCATTTCTCGATTCAAATTTGAATTTTATTCCCTCTACTGGTGAGTTTAAATGTGTCAAGAAGTAAGAGAGAGATATGTTCTGCTTTTCAAACTTTTAAAGTGTCATCCACATATCTTCACCATATTTTTGGAGTAGGATTAAATGTATTACGAGCCATATTTTCCCAGCTGTCCATAAATATGTCTGCTGCGACAGGGGATATTGGTGATCCATCCCATTGCTACACCTTCTGTTTGTCTATATATTTTGCCTTGGAACTTAAAGATAGTAGATGTGAGGCATAACTGAATTACTGAAATAATTTTTTTCAGCTTTTGTCCTATGATTGAGTTCAGGATCCGCAGTCAGTTCTGCCGCTTCTAAGGAGGGCATATTCATTGGTATATTGGTATGAATACTAGTTATATCAAAACTAACCATTTATTCATCATTCTCTAGTTGAATGTCATTTAGTTTATTTTTCATCTCTCATAGGTCCTGGGTAGTCAGATTGTCGGAACATAAGAATTTAGCTAAGGGAAGAATGGTTGAACCCAGTCGAGAAGTTGAGTAATTTAGAAAAAAGCTCAGCAATTGCACTTCACGCATTAACACACAACCACACAATAACATGATGGGAGAGAGTTAAAATTCTAAAAAGTAATCTATGTAGGTGGAGAGAGAGGCTGATTACTGAATCCTGCCTGGTTCATCGAGTCTACACCCAACACAACACATGCAACAGAAATGACTCAATGCGAGTACCAGAAATATGGAAGATATTATTACCGCCAGTCAGTCAGTCAGTCAAATCAGAGGAGGATAATAAATAATCTTTAATTGTATTCTATTTCAATTCAAACACATCACAACATTTTAACACGTTACTTATTTTGACTATAAAAACACTCGTCTCATTTCCCATCTGATTGTTAGTGATCAATAACCCTTACTATTATTATTTCTGAATGTACATTATCTCATATTGATTCCAATATCCAATCATCAATTCCACTCATGTATATAAATGAAGGAAAATGTGTGAGTGACTTGATATGATTATGAGAGGCAATAGTTTGTGCTCGAAACGTGGTCGCATCAGTTAGTATTACTGCAAAACACTGTGTGATTTATCAACATGAAATCTTATCCATAATGGAGTATTGTCCATTGTTGGCAGTAGTTTTCTGCAGAACTCTTCTTCGTTTTTGAGTTCTCCGTTTTTCGTGGGTGCAAAGTATTACATAGCTGATACTTTACTTGCTTTTGGATTGAATCTGGCTGTCATCTTCCTGCGAGATATTGCTTCTTGTTGCATCAGGGCCTTCATTTCTGTTAGTGACATCATGAAAGCCACTCACTGCCTCAGTGTGCTCACGGTTGTCTTGTGGGTGTGCGGAGTGGACAATCGACTCTCCCGTTGACAATTTGGTGAGGCCACTCCCGTTCCATCTGCCTCCTCATATTCCCAATAATTGAATTCCATATCTTTTCATCTCGTTTGCAATCTGGGCAGCTTTGCCAGTCTCGTACATGGTGTGGACGTTCCATGTTCCCATAGAGTTTCTTTTGTTTTCTCGCGATGAGACTCATCGCACTGAATTTTCTGCAGGATCTTTGTTTACAGACTGGGTTCGCTAGCCTAACGCCTGAAAAGGGGGTTGTCACATGAATACATAGTTTACAGAGGAGCGACATTTTGTGTTTCTCCCCTTTGAATCAGGAAAACAAGGAATAAAGCAATCAGAACAACACCAGTTACAAGAAAAGAAAATATTCTCAACAGGAAGGCCAGCGACGACGACAACAACAGCAACAGAAGAACCCATAGTTGCAGCATCACTGTCAAATACAGTTGACAAAAATGATATGGAAACCACAGGGTCACTGACTTGGGTCAACTCGAGCATGTAAATCAAACAATATATGTATACAATAAAGATATCAGCTAGTGTTAAGCAGTCACAATATGCCGAACAGTTAGTCTTCGGTATTATCAGTCAGCCAGATTATATCCACAGATTCAGTGTTAAAAGGTGAACTAAGTACAATTAATCCCACAAATTTCTGGTGAGAAAGCATCAGAGAAATGAGAGTTTTATGAAACTAAGCAAACGTAGCGCACTAATCGGAAAGCGCTTCAAGGGTTATTTTTCTCAGTTGCAGATTAGTAAGGCTAACTCAAATCTTCGTGAAGTCGGATGACTTCTCAACTGGGATCTTCCACGGTGTATTGCGAGTGTCCTTTCTTCATGTGGACACCATCACATGAATTCTGCTTACTATTTGGATTGAGGTGATTCTGCAGATCGATAGATTTCAATACACCTATCAGATTGCTTCGATCAATTATATGACTCACCCGATATCATGAGACGTTGTTTCACACACCAATCACAACACTCACAGTCATCCACAAATGAACGATGAAATCGTGATTATTGTAATGAACCAATTACAACAATGATTATGACTGCTTCTTGTGGTATAAATAAGGGAACGGAAAGTCAGTTACCATAACAAGATGGTCCACTTCGCCTTCATCACCCTGTTGGCACTTACAGCCATAAATTCAGGTAAGCACTTTTTCAAAAGATGGTATATTTGTTCCTTAATCCTTACGAAAGGTTCGCCTTATTCACTAGAACTGCTAAATATTTCGCCGGCTACTCTCACGGGCTATTCTCACTAGTTAAGTTTTGGCCGAGGAATGGTCGCTGTCGCGTACGCTTTCATATCAAATTCATCTTGCCTGATACATGGTAAAGAGCAGTGTAATAGCGAAGGCGTCTGTTCTCCTGACTCTGATTCAGAAACTGTGTATATCAACAGTTGCACAGTGACATGTTCTCTCATTTGAATAATGTGTCAGTCTAGAATTTCCTAAGATTTAAACAGCTCGAATACACATTTTGAGATGATGTGTTTCTGCCCTGCAATGGCATACATAAGGCGGTCGACAGCAGTTTGATGTATTTTAAGTAGACAAATTGTTCTGATAATTTTCAGTATTCTGAAACTCCTCCAATCTATTATAATTGACGGTTGCATTTCTTCATTTCGTTTCAAGGCGAGTCGACGAGTAAAGATGCAATTTCAACGAGACTTGCTAAAATCAATCGTAAGTACGTTTCAAATAAATATCACTTGAGTTTGTCAATCGACTTGATATAAGAATAGAACTTCTGCACTGTGGTAGAGTATAGTTTCATTATGGGTGAAATTTATTTTGATATAGTCTCACAGTGTTACACGGTAATATTCACTGATGAGGTTTTGTGCACAATTTACTACTCGTCATATCCATATCAAGGTATTCACTTAACTTTCTAACTTCGTTTACACAATTCCATTATTTTTCATCGCTTGACTCCGGTTTGAGTGATGAGTCATTTTTAATTGCACTGTTGGGTGTAGATTCTAGGAGCAAGGACTCAGTAACCAACCTCTCTTCACCTACCTACATAACTTTTTAGAATTTCAACTCACTCCCACCCTACTGTGTGTTCGTGCGTTGTTAATGCATGCAGTGCAATTGCTGAACTGTTTTCTAATCCACTGATCTTCGTGGATTGGTTCAACCATTCTAACGTTAACTAAATTCTTATGTTCCGCCAAACTGACTACTCCCGATCCACTAGTTTGACCCATGTAGTTGATCTCACAGTGATTGCAAGGTATTTTGTAGATATATTATTCTGTCTAATTGGGTCAACCAACAGTTTCCTTTAACCTACATACATTTAACTTGTCCCACCTAAAAAATTTGAAGGTTTGAATGCCACCACCGTAATTCCTGCTCTCTTAAGAATCCTACATAGGGAGGGTCTCAGACTTGAGTGCCTCAACTGACATTACTTCAGACTTCTTCAATGAAACGATTTCCAGTGTGCTTTATTCACTTGCATCCAATGTTCTTACTTAACATATGACAATTCATTCAAAATATTCTCGTTTCCCTACAGGAGAAATCCCTAAAGTCACTGCGTATCTGAAAAGTTCAGAAGCGAAAGTAAAACAGGCTACAGGTATATAAAACCTAAAGATTTATTGTTGATAATATTTTTACGCTGACGAAAACATACTTCGAATTATTCTTTCGAAATTATCACCAATGATGACATCAATACATCAACCATCTTATCTAGTGTGTAACAGATAATTATGGCATTTTTATACATGTCTCCAGAAGCTATAACCACTAGACCCTTTTCACTTTTCTGTTTTCCTAGACAAGATTCTCAGTCAAAATGCAAGCTTACAAGGAGAAATAAAAAAGTGTAAGCAAGTCAAATTTATTGAAATGATGGACTACCTATTTTAGATACGGACTGCCTGGAAAATGCATACAAGTACAGTTGGGGAAGCGAGGCATTTAAAAGTACGTTGTGGCAATTTTTTTCAATTTAAATATCATTTTATTTACGCAATATGTCCACTAAATTGAGTTTTCATCTGATAAATGAGAAGTTGGTTTCGTGATTAAATCACAGTTGTTGATGTGCTCTCTCACCGATCATTTCAATACTGAACATCTATTCGACAGTGATGTGATGAACGTTACCAAGTTTTCTAACTAAAAATTGATCAGAGCTGCCGAATATGCTAACTTCTGTCTATCTCTCTCAGATATACTTCACCATTTTCCCGGAGGTAAGCTAAATATTTTGAATCATTTCTGTACTTACTTACCGTCATAATTATTTCTCGTCAATATTCTGACTAACAATCGTCATCTGGCCTATATTCGCACTTCACCATCTCAACTATTGTTATTTTAGTCCTGACTTTTATTTACTGACTTGAAATAAAGATGAATAATTTCCTCATGCACCGATGAAGATTGCGAAGTGGTTGACGATTCATCAGAAATTCGGTTGTGTTTGCGTTTAACGTGCATAATTTTGTATGAGCACTATACTGAGAAAACAATAGACATGGATTGATACGTGTGTCACTAATTTACTTACAGACCCTCATAGGATATTAGTCGATGCGGCAAAATGTATCCAACAAGAATCCTTCGAATATAAAAGTAAGTAGGATTTTATTACGCTAACCAGTCTGAATTGTTTCGTCTGTGTGGAGTAACGATTTTCGAAATGCAAGTCTCCACGCATCTATTGTAACTTTGAGTGAATAATCAAACTGTGTTTTACTCTTACTCACCCATGAACAGGAAATATAGAGGAGTTCCCCATAAAGAAATGTTTCGTGAATATGCCTCCAGCACCTTACGAAGGTATTCATTTGTTCCTTTTTTACATTCTTGATGAACATTGATGAAAAACATTTTCACATACACCCACGATGAGGTTACATTTCCACACGTCACAATACCTTCGTCATCACGATTTGAATTCATGAACATCCATCGCTTATTATGCGCTAGTCAATGATGAGGATTTTCCAAGAGTCAGGAAATAATGTGTGAAGCAGGATGAACAAGTTTAGTGTTCTGGATGGTAGTCAGTCGTCTAAAAACGGCAGTTGTGATTTTGAGTAGAAACACACACACACACACTGGAAGACAATTTGTTGAACGTGAAACACTGAATGAGTACCACAAAAGTGATATTATGACTGCAGTTTGGACATGTTTTATTCTTAACATCATGCAAGTGGATGAGTTTGTGAAGTAGTCAATTGCTTGTATCTGTGTGCGAAACAGACTATTCAGCGTTATTTCATGACATGTATGATCCTGTGAAGTGTGTTCCTATAGGTATTCATTCCCCCCCCCACCTTGATTTATTTTTCAGATCTGCGTCAACTCAATGTACAAATTTATTACTTATTCTTTCACAAACACGAGCAAACTTTTAATATTTGTGAGTTCATTTTCTGTGTATGATTAAACTCCACAATCGAAAATTTCTATGCAAAAACAATATAAAGGCAGTTGTGTGATTGTGAGAATAGTCAATCCCAGTCTTATGTTAGTTTGTTATCAGAAGAACTCAGTAACTGACCACAGTCCCTTTCGCTGGTCAATTCAAATACTTCACAATCTGTTTTATCATTTCTAGATGCGAAAAATATAAACGAAATTCTATTGAAGGGGTTGATATGTGAGATTTATTTTGCATTATATTTCCACATTTTATCATTCGAAGGTCTGTTAATGCGGTGGTGACTCAAATTTGAAGCGAAGGAAGTGTGACAGTGTAGGATGATGAGTGAGGAGAGCACAACACTGGATTCGGATATTCACTGCAACATTCAGATAATATTTTTCACCATAGACCATCATTTCGCTGTCCAGCTGAAATATTGATTCATGAATGTGTGGTTCAAATTACACTGCATAATACTCGTGTTTAATCGATTGATGAAAGCATCATGAGTGGTGTTGTAAGTAACCGTGTGCACATTTCAAAAATGTCACTGAGGCTATGCAATCAAGCTGGTGAAATTCACACGACCCATAGTGAATTATTGAATTTAACAACTCAAATACACCGACAAATGATAGAAATGGAAATCATCACTCACTGAAAATATTCCGAATTCTCGGATTCTATGAATAAGCACACAGTTCACCAACAATCATCCTCCTTCTCACGATTATTCTTTCTTCATTATTTTAACCACTAGTATTTCATCCAATAATATTGCTAACTGATTTTATTCTCACACAGGAAATTGAGGAGAAGTTCCACGATGAATTTCAAATGTTGGCGTAACACTGAATACATGTAGACTGTAGTAGCTTTCGTAAATATTTCATTTTTAATTTAAATTAAATAAATCACTTTTCTGCTACATCGATTTCTCTTCATGAATTCAAACTTCATTCAACTGGTCGTGGTGATTGAGTGTGGTTAATATTCGAATTCGTGTTTGGTTGTCGTTATTGGGAATGTGATAATGTGAGATTGGTCTTCAGGTGGTTGTTGTGAGATTGTGTCTCTTGAGTATCGTGTTCTTCTAAGGCTTCTGAGTGTGTGTGTGTGTGTGTTATTCACACAGATGAGCCCTGTGATAGATGCAATCAGACCTACTGTTTTATTGACAAACAATTGTGTGAAGTCATATACTCATCATCGACTTCATTTCGTCTGCTATTGAGTCAGTGTCACCTTTTGAGGAGGTGATCACGAATAACATGGACCAAGAGCACGTAATAAACTTTTCCGCATCATTTGAAATCGAATAAGTGGTCACATGTTATTCACTTATTCCAGCAACTAACATGTTTATTATAACAGTCATCCTCCGTATCACTGACACCAAATACATACATCTGAATGAGGACTTGCTGGATGATGATATCTAGGTATGCTGAAATACCTGAAGCATGCGTTTCCACAAATCTGTGGTATGAACTCAGGGAATCATTGATTGCATACTGCTGCATAGCTCTTCGAAACTTCGTCGAGAGACACAGCGTCAGAAAACGCTGCAAAGACAGCTAGAAGTCGTTTATTTGTCGTAACGTATACGTGGTTCTGTTCGACAAAAAAATAAAATCTCAGCAACTGAGAGTCATCTCCAACAGTTTCGTTAGTCAGCTATGCAGGAAGGAGATATTTCAAGTAGAAAACAAGTACGGCAGCGCAAAACAAGTTAACCAAAATCCAACCGTATAGAGTAGGTGAGAATGCAATCGAATATTCACACAACAACAAGGTGCCATCACCACTCTGTTCACAAGAATCAAACACCAACAATTCCCGAAAACAGTCCAACATAACAATCACCCTGATTAACTCAAACTAAATCACATTGTGCGTCGGTGACATAGCGGTTAGGACGCTCGCCGACCATGTACATGGTCCGGGGTCCGATCCCCGGCCACCGACGCACCCCTTTACCTCGCTAGGCCAGAAATAATGCTGGTAAAGAGGAAAGGTTGGGCATGAGGCTAGCAACCGCATCCTGTAAAATAAATACTGCTATAGAAACTTCAAGCCACTAGCTTGAAGCCCTATGTTCCACTGGGGAACGTGAAGGAGAATAAAAAAAATTTAAAAAATCACATTGTAAGACAACAAATTTACAATGTATCGTACAACCACAAATGGCAGCATTAGGATTGCAGGTCTAACAGGTACAAAGACAAATAATAAGCATGAAGTGAGCATATGATATGCAAATGTCACAACGGCGAAAGGTGGATGCCAACTACAATGTTAGCTGGAATATCCAAACAAGTATAGTTATGGCAACTAGGTAGTTCACGAGAAATTTTTCAAGCAGTTATATCGTTACTCTTTAATTTGATATACCCATTAAAAATCAAATAGATGTTCGAGAATATATGCAGATTTGACAAGTTGAGAAATCGAACGCTTCTGAATGGAAATGTAAAAGTCGATAAACACTGATTTGACAAATCATACTATCTATGAGTAAGGGTTACACTCTAAACTTTAGCAGCCCAAACCAAAACTACCTTGAGAACGGAAGAATGACCTTGAGCAGCCAATCAGATGACTCGGAATGGATGCTGTACATCGTTTTTGCGGCACAAATTCGCTCCAGACTTTGTTTTTGATTACTGTTCAGAGAACAGGCTGATAGCGAGGTCGAAAACTTGCCAGTGAGGAGGTGTAATGCATATCCAAAGATACACACGAGGTGCGTCAACGGTTATGTTTACCGTTGCAGTGAGTACAGATGCAGAAAATCGGTCCGAGAGGGTATGTCGTTATTTTTTAGTTTAGAGATTCTTTAGATACATTTTTCGCGAAATCTCATTTACCTCTAACGAAGATTCTGATGATGTGTCACAACTGGGTTCTAAGAAGACCAGTAACAGCAACCGCATATGAGAGAGAAATGTCACAAGTTTCTGCAGTACGGTGGTACCAATACTGCAGAGATGTGGTGTCGTGGAAAATGAACAGACTGACCCAAGTACTCGGCGGAGTTGGTGTTACTGTTCACGTGGATGACACTGTGTTAATAAAAAGGAAATATAATAGAGGGAGAATGAGTTCAAATCAACAATGGGTGTTGGGCATATATGACACCACCCTACACAAAGGATATATAGAAGCGATTCCTAATCGCAGTGCGAATGTATTGTTGCCCATTATCCAACGTTTAGTGCTGCCGGGAACAACTATACATACGGATGAGTGGCTATATTCATCAAGTTGTCAACCACACAAGCGGATTCATAAATCCTTTCGATGGAACTCATACTAATTCCATTGAAAGTTTCTGGAGTCACCTCAAAAAACGGATAAGATATGTGAACGGATCAAGAAATGTAATGATTTACAGTTATCTCCTCCGAGCCAATAATTAAACCTACCGCTGTCATCAGTTACAATCTTAGAAATCATCACAACCTAGCTGCTATAGAGCATTGTCAGACTTACATGCGGTATAATTTCTTCATAAATAAGTTTTCAGTCATTTGGAATAGACTACCAGCTGATGTGCGCGATGCAAACACACTCGCAGAGTTCATCTCCTCAGTCACCAGACTGCTCATAGATGACAATGCACTTCTGCGTCTGAATCCTACTCCCATTTTTTCGCCCAACATAGATATTTTAAGTTCATTAAACGTGTAGTTACAACAAACTACAATTATAAATTTTTATATTATTGGAAGTACATGATAGACATTTTTACACAGGACAATAATATTAGTTCACACAATATAAAAGTTAGCATCACGGGACTATTTAGTTAGTGCACCAAAATAACTATAATTACTAAACAGAATATAAATGTATATATACATATTAATCACTCCTTGAGGATTCCACTTGCTTTCTTTTGCGTTGTTGTTGTTTGTCTTGTTTTGTCTCTCACCATTTCAGCTTCCATTTAACTCTTTGAATGAGAATGAAGAATGAGGATATTTGACCATTTACAATGATAAATGATCTGCAAACATTATTGGTCCCATATCTTACAATTCCCTTGTGAATTACGCATTATGCAACCTGGATTACAGTTGTGAAATATACCTTTATACCAATAAAAAAAGTATTGATTTATAATACTTCACGACTGTAACTTACAACATAACTGATCTTGTCTGCAAAAATAGCTTGCATCTCTTGAAAACACCCGTTTATAAGAAAATACAAACTTTCATTATTATTAGTCCACATTGAGTACAATTCACTTGTGATGTTACGATGAAAATGCTGACAAAAGTATACAAGTGTATTACTTATTTTAAATTATTATCAAATTTGGATATAAATCGAGAATAAGACTCGATGCCGTACACACCAAAGTTATATGGAGGAATTACTTCAAGCTTTATTCTTTTCCCAAGTACTTGTAATCCATCCAAAACATACTTGGGTTTTTTTGTTAATGCGAAGACAATATTTCTATATTTCTTGATGTGCTCCATTGAATGACTAGTTATCATATTGTTCCCATAGACAAAATGACTGCAACCTTATAATTTTACCATGAACCAAATTTATGTAATTTAAATAATACTTATCCATGCCTGTACAATTGGTGTGTCCTACACAGGTAGGAAAAAATGTATTTTATTAAATTAACATTATTAAATATGCTTACTAATCGTATATGTAATTTATCATATTGATGATGCCTGTAAACTGGCTTCCCTCATGTAAAAAAATGAGAATATACTATTATTATTATTATTATTATTATTATTATTATTATTATTATTATTATTATTATAGGACTTGGTTTAACATGACTTTAAAGACTCCTATGTCAAACTGGGAGGGCAACTCTAAACAATAGGAACCCAAAACGAAACGACCTACGAAAGCACAAATGACCTCGTCAAGGACCAATCAGAAGGCTCAAAAAACGACAATAGTCATCCCAGGCAGCACTAAACTCTAGATAATAGGCAATAATACACATGCCCTGTGCTTAGGGGTTGCCTCAATATGTCCTTTCTGGAGGCTGGTGTCATATATCCCCAAAACCTATTGCTGGAAAAAACAGTCACCTGATCGGTTGCTCAAGGTCATGTGTGCGTTCGTAGGTCGTTTCGTTTTGGGTTCCTATTGTTTAGAGTTGCCATTGGGAGGTTCTTTTTGCAACATATACGAGAACGCTATCCTTTGTAACTATTTTTTAACACTGCATTACTTGTATATAAACG